GTGAGTTTGGTAAAGCTACTGTCACCTATTTAGGGAAGCAGGTTGGGCAAGGCCAAGTCCGACCAGTGGAAGCTAAGGTTACTGCGGTGGCTGAATGTGCGGTGCCCGTCACCAGGAGTGACCTCCGCCGTTTTCTCGGTATGGCAGGCTATTACCGCAGTTTCTGTCGCAATTTTTCCACTGTAGCCCAACCCCTATAACTAATTTGATAAGTCCCAATGTGGACTATGTTTGGACCCCTGAGTGCCAACATGCATTTGAGTGTGTAAAGACACTCTTAAGTCACGCTCCTGTGCTCGCTGCTCCCGATCTTGCTAAACCCTTTAAACTCGAGGTGGATGCCAGTGCAGTGGGGGCCGGTGCTGTTTTACTGCAGGAGGATGCGGATGGAGTTGATCATCCTGTCTGTTATTTCTGCCGCAAGTTCAACAAACACCAGGGGCCTCATTTATAACGCCGTGCGTAGGATTCACGTGGGAAGGTTGCTTACGTAGTAGAAATCCCAAAAATAGGTACAGAAATGTTCCGACATTTTCCGATTCACCAAACATTGCGTACCGGCGAGGAAAGTGCGTACAGCACTTCCTATGCCGGTTTCCCTTTATAAATCACAATCGACTCGAAATGTGGTGCAGCTTTTGCGGGCTTCACGTAACGCCCATATTTGCCTATAAATAGTTAAAGAAACGCCCATTCATTCATTCATTCTGACTGACTTTATGAAGAAGATAGCAGGAAATGACGACAGAACAGCTAAAAAAATACATCTCACACCGTGTCAGATTTTGGTTATTTTGGGGAGGTCGAGATAAATCATATTGTTTGGTGGATGCAGTTTGAACCAGAGTAGCAGCATGGAGGTCGGATCGTCACCAAAATAAATAAATAAGTGGTCCGAAAAAGGTTCATGACAAAGAAAATACACATAGCCTTCCTCAGGCAGTGTGTTTGTACCGGGGACAGGAGACCCCCCCATTGATGAGAAACTGTAAGAAATGATCGGGGAATCCCTCCGGAGTGGAGTCATGACGACTGGATCTGCATTATGTTTTTGTATTTGGTGGTTTGTGTTCCAGCTGTCGATCAGCTGTGCGCAGCGTCTCCACTGCAGCAACTCTATATCCACCAGTTAAAGGAAATACAACTAATGTGTTGTGTTATATTAGCTGTACAATTGACCACATATGGTGTTCTTAGTTTCCATACCTCCTGTGTTTTATGAGCGACTTATCAAGTCTTAGCAAACGGCATAAAACATGATTAAACATGGTAGTAGGCCTATATAAAACCATGCTCGTACAACCTATAGAAATGCAAAACCGCATCATTTATGAGAAAACATTTCATAACATTAACACAACATATTCGAGGTGGTTTTAAATAACATATCCGTATTTATTTATTTCTCCAAGTTATGTTTTTGTGTGCACTGAGTCAGCGTTTGTTTAATCATTTTAAGATTGGCTTTAATCAATGTTTGAAAATGAATTCTTCATATATGATAAATGAGAGGTAACATTTTGTTTATGGTATTAATTCCACATATTTCTCTCCATTCTTCCTTCTGCCAACGCGGTGTCGCAGTTTCTCGTCTCTCCCGTTTTTGTGCTTAGTGCGTACGCATGGGTTAGAGTTTGCGTGGAGGACCGCACGTTTTCCCGTCAAGTTAGTATTTTATAAATCGCAAACATTGCGTAGAAACTGGCGTTCGCCATTTTTTGAGCGTATATCCTTTTATAAATGAGGCCCCAGGTCCGCTACTCTACCATTGAAAAGGAGACCCTTGCTTTGTTGTTAGCTCTCCAGCACTTTGAGATTTATGTCGGGTCCAGTTCTTTGCCGGTTGCAGTATTCACCGATCATAATCCCATTGTCTTTTTGTCCCGCATGTACAATCACAACCAGCGTCTCATGCGGTGGGCTCTGCTCGTCCAGGACTACAACCTGCAAATCCGCCACAAGAAAGGTTCAGAGAATGTGTTCGCAGATGCCCTGTCCAGACTGTAGATGTGTTCTGTGGTCATGGTGTTATTGTGTTATGGTTCACAAAAACCCTGTGGGGTTTGTGTCTTAAGGGGGGGGGGGGGGGGGGGGGGGATGTTACAGCCGCTGTTACCTTGTGCCCTTAACTCTGTTTGTGTGTGGGTATGTAAATGAGCTGTGCAGTTCCTCTGCTGCCATTGGCCGTCCTGACCTCGCAACATCCGCGGTGATTGGACGGACGTCACCCAATCCCCGCCCACTTCTGCGACGTCATCCGGGGGAAGAGTATAAAGGCCGGGCACGGACACCATTCGGAAGGCTCTGTATTGTGTGACAGACGCCTCAACCCTCTCATTGTGACAAGGCCATTTTCTGTGATTCCTTAGACTGCCTAGCAGTGTGTATTCTGTGCTTCTTTAGACTGCCTAGCAGTGTGTTCAGTAGGGTTCTGTGCGAGCACACTGATTAGCAGTGTGTCGTAGTATTCTGTGTCTAGTATAGGGTTTGTGTGTGTGTATTGCGTATAGAGGTTGCTTAGCTCCTGTAGAACCGCATTTAGGATATTGACATTGTGAAACAGCTTAGACCCAGGTTAGCTTAGCGCCTGTGGATCAGCATTTGTGAAAGTATTGCTTAGACCCCGGTGATTAGCACCGGTTGATCAGCAACAGCTGTGTTCCCACACAGCCTCCTTTTGTTTAGTGTTTCGTTCCACTTTCGAAGTGAGGTAGGCCTACTTTCTTTCTTTTGTAGCATACTGTGCAACTCTCTTTTGGAGTCTTCTTTTGTTAAACCGTAACAGTTTGGTCCGTTGTTGGTCCAGGCTGTTCGTGTGTATATTATTGTGTTCATTGTTTTGGGTTACAAATAAACCACCGGTAACATATACCAAATCCAATCTGGTCATGTCGTGTCCCTTTGGTTCCCCTAGCCCAATAGGGAACGTAACAATTGCTTTCCTGCAATGTTAACTATGTTGAAGCACTTATTTTAACTGATATTATACATATGTATTATACTCTTATGTATGTAGATAGTATAAGAAATGTGCAGAATATGACAGTTCAATGGTGGAGGTATATACACACATATTGATAGATGTCTTGTAATGCACTGTTGAGGAACCTGTGACCCAAGTTTTTCATTCATTGTATACACTGTAGTTGTGTATTATGATATGTCAATAAACCTTTGGAAATCTTGAAAGGGATGTGCAAAATAGCCATAATATACAGTCTTTAATGAACTATTAGTAGAGAATAACGAGTGATGAATATACTTTATTACTCGTTTCCATTCATGTCAATTGCAGATAAATGTTTAGTCTTCTCAAGCACCAACTATCAAATATCTCTCCTGATTGTTGGCACTTGACAATCACCTTACCTGAATTTTACTCTGCAAAGTAACTCAAATAAGTGTAGAAAAGTAAAAATACCAGGTTAACCTCTGAATTGTAGTGGAGTAGAATTACAAAGTAACAATGAGCTGTCATGTGGGTATATATTAATGCTGCGCATTATGGACCCAAGCGATTTTCACCCATTTATTAATTATATGTTTTACATTTGATAACACCAATCTGTTTAATACTGGCAACTTCTAATTGTGGGATAAACGAAAACGTTCAGTAGAGACGTCCCATAGAACATTTTGCGAAACACAATAGCCAGCATGTGTAGTTCTGGGGGGGCGTTCGATTCCAGTTTTGGATAGTCTGGCGTGGTTTCGTTCCATTTCAAACAGCTGTTTGACGCTCGGCGTAACCTTGGCGCACTGCCACTCCAACATCCAATCCCAGAGCTTGAAGATTAATCACGGGGACTGTAGTCCTAAACGATAGCTGGGGATTATGGGTAGTGTAGTGTCTTCGGCCATTCTAAACTCCTAGAGGCCTACATGTGTTTCCGGTTATTTTTATTTTGAAATTCAGTTCCTGACGGACGCCAAAAAAGCCCGAGATTATGGAATTAAACCAATAAATAAAAGCAAGGATAATTGTGTGTTATTGGTGAGTAAATAACAGTGTGTTATTTTGAAAACAATAACAAATTAGAAGGAAAAAAATATTTAAAAAATACAGATTTCAGTATCCTGAGGCTCTGAGCCCCATTTATTTTCCTCACAGACGGCAACAAAAGTCCGAAATTATACGATTTAAAATAAAAGCAATAATTGTGGCTTGATATTGAGTAAGAACATGTTTTTATGAACCACACAGCTTCCGGTCTTCCACGACCCGACCGGAGAAAAATACGTGCTACAGGCACGAAACACATTACCAGTAGAAATACATTGCTTTTAAATCGTGCTGTGCAACACGAAAAAAAGGGGAAAATCGTGTTGGTGAACACGAATCAATAGATTAAAAATCGTGTTAGTGAACACGAAATGCTATGAGACTGGGTTGTTATGCAAGTTCAACTTTTTGATAAAGTTCCTGATGAAAAATGGAATGTATTGTAATGAAATAAGGCAGGTTGCTCACAAAAACAATGGGATATCTGTCTTAGGAACTAAATCTTCAGTATTTTCTTTAACATCTCTGATAGGCCAGACGCACAACTGTCATCTGCTTTCGATGTAAAAACACAAAATAAAATGCCAAATGAGAGCTCAGGAATTTTCTGACCTCAATATGGGGGTAAACTGCCAACAACTTATGTTATTGGAAATAGAAAGAACACGATAAGCCTCAGGAAAACGTCTGGTAGAGACTTGTGGTGAGCGTCCTCCAACTGGGGACATCCTGACACCAAACATAAGCTTGTAATCACATCACGCAGTCCTCTGGGACTATTTTACAAAGCATGATTAACAGGATTTTTCCAGTCTGTTTTTTAACATCTTGTGCAGAGAATATTTTAGCATGTGCGGCAGGCTAGTCATCAACCAAGTAAATTGGAAAGAGAAACTCACTTGTGTTTCCACTGTGACCTGCTTTTAATTATGGGATTCCACACAACGTGCTCAGCTCTCAAATTGCGATACAATAATAAGTATTGAGAGACGGCATCTCCAGGTTGTCATTTATTTCAGTTTGAAACAATACAAACGTTACTGGGCCATGACTCTAGTAGCCTACATGTCATTCAAAGTTAAGGCAGATAATATAATTGTTACAATTTGCTGAATATGATTCACAGCAAACAGGACAAAAAGGTCAGGGATAAAACGGTCAGCATGATTTTCAACAAGCAAACAATACATCGAATCAACTCTGAAGACAGGAAGCTCTTAGGAATGCTCTCATACTATAAGGTGTGAGAAATGCCTTCAATACGTCGCTGGGACATTACATGGACCACAACACCACACAGAAATGGCTAAATAAAAACCCAAGCAAACAAATGTACAGGCTAAATTAAATGTGTTGCCAGGTCAGATAGGCAAAAAAGCTGAAGAGAGTATAAGAACATATTGTATTATATCAGCTCCAATTCTGTAAACCTTATGGAAATTATGGTGCCGGACAGACAGATAGCAGGAAGTCCTAAAACATGGCTACTAGGTTTGCATATATCATGATAAGAGAAAGGAAATTGATTATCTTTAAAGCATCTATAAATACAAATAATAATTGGATGAGCAAAAATTACTTGGTGTAAATTACTGCGGTCCATAGTGTAATCAGCGAGCATTCACAGTGTTGTGGTGCATTATGACTTACAAGTTGATTCAAGTGATGCAATATATATATAGAATAAAACGTACAAATAAACATCTTGTATAACATTTCGTTCGTTGCCGTTACATAAAGTTGGTATTTAAAGCTCACAACGTGTAAGCAATCCTGCAATAAAGGAATCAAGGGGATGTCTGTATTGATTATAATGCATCCTTTGGGGTAAATTTGCTATATGCTGTAACCTACAAATTGGTTCACGTAACAGGCACTATGCTATTAACCTGATGCCTTAATGCACAACAGAATCACTGCTGCCAATAAGCTAAATTCAAACCAGACATGAACTCCGATGATGTACACTTGGCATGTCAATTTAAAACACTATACTTCCTTAGGCAAGAGGCTTTTTTTTTTTTGCAGGATACTTTCATTCATGTTTTTAACAGAAAGTGGTGACAGATGATGGTTGAAAAGGAAGTGTGCAAACAGCAAAAAGTCCTTTCGACCAAAAGAACAAACTTTTTTTTTTTTTTTAGAGTACTCATTCAGTTCCACATCCAATATATCAGTTTCTGCTCCGTAGTCATTCCTGTCAGTTGTTGTCGTTGTTTCTTTTCAAGTTTCAGGGTATGGAACAGTATCCTCCACATGCCCTGCCACCACCATGCTCTTGGTCCCCCAGACGGACCTTCTGACCCTGGTTTTCACTCTCCCACAGCCCTGGAGTCTGTAGGATCTTCTCCACAAGCTCCTCAAAGGCACACTGGACGCCATCTTTGGTCTTTGCACTGGCCTCTGTACAAAAGAAAGAGGGTTACTCAGATTTATCAGCAAAGAAACCTGGTAGAAAACATGAAAAATGACCAAAACAATTCCCCTTTAAACCCAAAACAGGGCAATATATATATTTTTAGCATATCCTGTCGTAAAACTTAAAAATATATATCCATGTGTTGCCAATATGACTTATTAAATAGAAAATGATTTAATTTTAAGAAGCCAGAGTCATATCCAGTGGGATGAAGACATCATGACAGCGGATTTATCCACAACATCTTCGCTGCCCAACCCTTTTTCGAAACCCTTAATTTAGCTGTTCTAAAATGGAAACTCTGCAGAAACTTTAACGTAATTTCCCAGAGAGGGGCAGATAGGCGATGGGAATCAGGAACACGTGTAGACATGGATCCGATAAATGAAAGCCCGCTAGATTTTAATCATAATGCACTTCTTTTGGAGCATCTCGCAACGCTAGAGAGGCTCCAAAATGCCACAGCCGTATAAACACAAAACAACTCAAAACTAAACGCATGACTTACTAAAGTGATGTTTTGACTTCTTTTGGTCCAACTACACAATTACAGTTCTGCATTTTAAGGACAGTAAGTACGTTTGAATGGCTTTACAGTAAGCCTCATGTTATGGCTCTATGAGTTTATATGAGCATGTCTGACCGCGTCTGACATGTATACTTACCGATAAAAAGCATAGAGTGTTTCCGAGCAAATTTCAGGCCCTCGTTTCTATCCACTTCAGGGTCGTCCTGAAAAACAAACAGACATCCTATGTTATTTTCTCCATGTGGAATACACATGTTGAAGGATTAAAAGTCTTGTTCTGCACAAGCAAAGGACCTATTTTTTCATTCCCAAAAGAGGTAGGAGGAAATATAAAAGCAAAGGTTAACATTCAACTAAACATTTTTTTGTTCTGCCCTGAGTGGTTTTTCAGTGGAAACGATGAGAAAATACAGAGTTTGGGGGGGGTCGTAAAGTAGCGTTGGATTGTGGAATTTGTTGTTGATCAATCAGGAGGTTTTTAGAAGGAGCAGAATTATCAAAAAAAAAGGTCTCCTTATTTCCAAAACAAAAAGGACACAGCGAGCATAACTGGTAAAAACTTGTATAAAATATGTTGGCGGATGGGTGGGCTGCAAGCTAACTGCTAACATTTACTCAGCTTGTTTCTCTGTTCACTTAAGATCCAGACACTCTAGATGTTTTTACCAGGAGCCAAATTATATGCAAGGTAAACAAAACCTGTGAAAACACTGAATAAAGCAGTTTCATGCTAAAAATGAGTGGTTTTCCAATGTGGTTTGGCTCCTGCAATAGTTTGCTTATTTTATTTTGCTCTGGTTATAACATGAAGTAGAAATAAAACGTACATCGTTAAAGTCTATCCTAAAAATCGGTCTTAAATTGTGATAAAACAAGTCACTTTCTGTCAGACAACCAAACATGGACGCATGCTCAAAGGGGATACAACAGCATGTGTTTTCAAAGATGAATAATGTTGGAAACAATTAATTGTTTTTAATTTGGAAACCTTACATATTTTACCTTCTTGGCTGAGTTTAAGCCTTTTAGGTTTACTAAATGACCAGAAATACGATACGATATTACTTTATTTGTCAGATCAAGTCTAAAATTTGACTTGCGTCACAGCAGCTCCATGTCCAACATCAACAGACAAATATCCAGACACAAATACATGAAACACAAACAACAAACATTGAACATAACAGCACAATCAGTGAGAGAAAAGCTGCTCAAAGAGCCTTCAGCTGCATTTGATCTAGGATTTAGCTCTGTGTTGACTGATGCACAAAGGATGCTTCAGTCTGACCTTATTGAATGGTGGGATCCTGTATCTCCGATTAGATGGTAGCAGTTCATATTCACTGTTCAGAACATGGTTTGGGTCAGAGGTCTAGGATCTGTCAAGGAAATGGGCTGATGGAACTGTAACTGTTTTAACCTGTTTTGTGTCAGACAGACTCACCCGATCGATTTTATTCCCAACAAGCATCTTTACAATTTCATTGCGTGTTGTGTAGGTCTCCAGTTCGTTCAGCCAGTTTTCAAGCCTCGTAAATGTCTCACGCTTTGTGACGTCATACACTGTCAAAACCATGCAAACAGAGAAAAGGAGTTAGAGGGAAAAATGAATTGGAACATCTTCCTTTTATTATTAACATTTGTATTAGAAGTTGCTGTAATCTGATGGCTGTGACTTATAGAAAATGTGTAAAGAAAGTGTTAAAGCGGGAGAGTGAAGATAATATGTTAGCTGGTAAAAGAGAAAGTGTTTCTAGGTCAGGTTTAGAACAGGTTATGAGGCTTTATAAACATCACTGTGTACCGAGTATGACTCCCTGCGCACCGCGGTAGTAGCTGGGTGTCAGGGTGCGAAACCTTTCCTGTCCGGCTGTGTCCTGTCAAAGTAAAAACACTTAAGATTAACAGCAGCAAAAAGCTCCATAACGCCAAGCATTTAAAAACTACATGTGTCCACACTCACAGACATCATTTTCCCAATAAGTGGTGCGATGTCTCAGACTGTCCCGCTGTGAAATTGGCCACTGCCTGAGAACTTTTGCAAATCTTTATTCTTAAGGGAATTATTCACAATGCTAATGTTTAAAACAGGATGACTTGGCACGTTATGGAACTGGCAGAGCTGCAAAAACATAAGTTACATTTCATTGTGTACTTCTATTTTCTATCAAAATACGATTTTATTGGCTTGAAGGACAAGCCTGAAAATATATGGGGAAGTTAGGAGACTAAACAGCATTTAAGTGTCTGAGAATGATTGTATTGCTTGTTAAGTGGATTAGAGTATGGTGCATATAAATGCAGGAAAATATATCAATTTATTTTACTTCTCTTTTTATTGAAATTCACACAAAGAAGGGAATATTATGAGTCAGGCATTGGAATTATAATTTGTTTATATATATGGGAGTTTGCTGATTGGTAGACCAAATTCGACAATATAGATATAATGAAATTCAATAGAAGGTAATTAAAAAGCATATATTGTATTTATGAGTTTTAATCCAATCAGACATTTAAAAATTCACAATTATTATAATTTAAATATGAATTTTTAAACTACATGCATTATAAGTATTACACCTGCGTCAGCCCATTAAACTTTACAAAGTGCCGTCCTCTTTCTCATAATGTATTTTGAGCCCTGGCATCCTCCGGCACACTTATTGCTCAATTATTATTCTAATATTCTCAACAATAAAGAGTATGCCATTTCAGTATGTTGGGCTTGGGTTATGGTCTCACTGAGAATGGTGGTAGTGTTTTTACATTGGACATCTGGATTGTATGCCTCATGAAAAGTGTTAAAGTTTCTTTATGAGAGTCTGGCTGTGCAATGTCTCCGCCTTGTGGAGAAAACACGTACATCCTCGTGTTTTTCCTAACAACAAAGACTAAACTGTAGACAGTGACATAATGACTTATTTCTTACCCATATGGCGAGCTTTGCTTTGTTCCCATCTATTGAGAGGGTCTTTACTTTGAAATCCACACCTGATCATTAATGAAAGGAAGAAACAAAGTAAAGAGAAAAGGCTTTGATGGTGGCACCTTCTAAATGATATTTCTGTGTTGAACCATGTGTTGATGTACATGTGTGTGTAAGTTACAAACCTATTGTTGCTGCCTGATCAGGGTCAAAGGTATCCTCTGTGAACCTCAGGAGAAGACTGTTAGGAGAATACAGAAAACAAGGCTATAAGCAAGACACACTAGGCTTTCGTGAGGTGACTGCAAACTCTATCAACCCTTCCCTCTGTCAGTTACAAGCACAGTACAATAGCTACACAGTTGTAATGTTGAAATGAGCAGCAGCATCCCTATCAGGAAACAAAATACCAGGGGGAAGTTTTACAGCAGCCTATATGACGCTGCCATTTTTCTGACACCTAATTGTCAACTTGTTAAAAGTGAATATGTGGCCTACATTGGCAGGAAAAGGACATCAACAACATTAGCTGTTAGCTTAGCGACAGCTGTGTAATACACTTACATAATAAGAAGAATGTCAACATTCACAACAGGCTAGCTAACAGCTTGCTACAAACCTGGACTTCCCGACTCCACTTTCACCGATTATCAACAGCTTCAGAGTCGTTATCACGTCGTCATCCATATTCCTAAAAGGGGCTAGTTTAACCTGCACTTGGCGACGCTTTTTTCGGTGAACTTTACTTGTTTTTGGAGCAGCAGGCGGCTAGCAGCTCCGGTGACAGGCTGCTGTTCACGCAACTTCCGGCCAAGCTTCGATGCGTGACGTCACTGAGGATCATGTCGTTTGAAACTAAGATACAATAAAATAGTTTTTGTTATTTTACTTGGGCTATTACTGTTTTTAACAGTGTTTTTATAGTTTGTCTAAAATAGTCGTAGTATTATTTGAATACATAAATAAAATAAGAAAAATAGGAAAACATTATGTTCTTATTGTATTCTGATTATTTAGTCTAAACCTATGGTCTAAACATGTAAAAGGCATGAGGCATGCTTCACATCAGCAGATGCTTTTTGTTAATAGCAAACTCAAAATATTTTAAAAGTGATTATTATAAGTCAAAATAGCTCAAACAACACTTCTTATCTTGTTCACTGATTAAAACAAGGTTTGCTAACTCCTAACCGAGTTGTTGTTAAAGTCTAGGGCTTCACATAATTTTTCCAACCTACACTGTGATTGTTTTAACAACGTTTTCGATATGGATATGTACAAAGCAACAATTTGTGTGCTATAAATTAAAACAGATTGTGTTTGTAGTTCATTAATTGAACTTAGGTGAGGATCAGACTATATTTTGGAACAAATGTATACTGGTTACAGGTTCATTAAAAAAGATTCACTTGCTTTTTTTTGCTGCTGTATCTTACCATTATAATTTAAAATCGTATTACTTTTGTTGTGCCTACTTTTTTTTCCTTGTACTTTTTGAATACCTCATTTCATTGTGTCTATGATTTTTTCTTATTTTAAACAACTCTGCATTAGTTGGTTAAGTCTACCATGAAACTGATTAAAGAAGAGAAGGAAGTCTACCACACCAAAAGGTATTGTTAATTGACAGGTAGAAAACAAAGAAGAAAAGAAAACCCTCATTCATTATAAAACAGCTTTGTTCTCTGCCTTTGCATTCATTAGACCTTGAGTGCCCCAAAGTTGAATGTTGCCTCAACCATGAGAAGTTATCACCTGGGGGTGTTGCAATTGGAAACAATGGACAGTATTGAAATGGACCCAGTGAGCCATGCTTCACCTACCGTCCTTCAATAGGCTCTTTGACTGAGCCTTTCTTCAAACCTCATCTGCCTCTTTTCATTACAGAGTGGGCTAACCCTGTAATTATGTAAATCTAATTTCATGAAGGAGCTGAAAATGGTCTGCAGCACAATAAATATAGCTGCGAAAACCCACACAACCCTCGACAGTAGAGAAGGAGCATCTACTTTATATTCCTCAGAAATCCAAATTCTTACAGCCATGGCCGTACTACGCACATATTGCGTTGAGAGGCCCCTGCGCATTTGCTTTGAGATGATGGGTCATTTTATCGGATCTCATCCTTGGTGGTTCTTGATTGCCCCTCTTATTTTCTCGACATGTCTTGGGAGTGGATTTTATCTTCTCCAGGACAGAATGTCAAACGATATCGAAGAACAGTTCACGCCTTTCGATGGACAAGCCAAGCTGGAGAGGAAATACATCCAAGAAACTTTTACTGGAAATGACTCCACGTTTTCGCGTTTAAGGCTGAGCACGGACGGGAATTACGCAATTCTTATAGCTACGAATGACAGGAATATTTTGACTGTGGAATCACTGCAGGACGTCCTAGACTTAGATTTTCAAGTAAGAAGTATGGTGGTCCAGTTTGACAACCAGTCATTTGAATATGTGGATGTGTGCACTGAGGTGATGGGATCCTGCACCTCCAATGACATTTTAGACATTATTAAAACCAATGCCAGCAATATAGACACAGTCAATTTGACATTTCCATGGTATAACTTAAATTCTAGGAGTTTTCCTTTGTATTTGAGTCTGGGGAATGTGAAATTACTTAATGAGAGCACAGTAGTTGAAAGTGCTAAAGCCATACAGCTCTATTACTATTTACGTGAAGACAACAAAACAAAGACTGACCTTTGGTTGGAAAGCTTCATTAAATTAGTCTCAAACATATCATCAGCTGACATTCAGGTAAGCAGAACTTCAACCCGTTTTAGTTTAATTTAGTACGTAGACTATGTAATATATTAATACTCTTTCTAGGTTTCTTATTCCACCTCCATGTCGATGCAGTGGGAATTTGAAAAGTCTCCAGGGTCTGTCATCCATTTGTTCTCCATCACCTATGCCATCGCCATCACGTTTTCCATCATATCATGTTGGAGGTTGGTAGAACATCTGCTCACCATCTCAGTGCAGTACGAATGTTTAGCTGTTTTTAATGTCTGATTTTCTTCTAGGTTGGATAATGTGAGGACGAAGGTGTGGGTGGCAGCCTGCGGGGTGCTCTCCACAGGTCTGGCAGTCCTGAGTGGATTTGGACTGCTGCTGCTGCTGGATCAACCTTTTGTCATGACAGTTGCTTCCTGTCCTTTCATGATATTAGGTAAGTTATGTTCTGTAAAACGTCCAGGCCCATGAGGTTCCACTATCTAATGCTGAATCAAAGTTAGAGTGTGCTCAAAACAACTTCATGTTAACCCAAAAAGTTAAGTTTCGTAAAGTTTCGTTAAATGCTTTTAGTTATTCCATCCTCCTATCCAAATCAATTATGGTTCCAAAAAAACAAAATGGCGATGGTCAAAATGCCACATTTGAGGCTTCAATACGGTAGTCCAGTCTACTATGGAAAGCAATGGCTGCCTGGATACACAAAACAGAACAGCCTGCATTTGAAAGCGGTCAAACTTTGACCACTTTCAAATGCAGTCAAACCGTCAAAGTGAAATACAGTGCATCTCCTTTGTAGTTAAATAGCTAAGAAGCAGGGTGTACTCCCATACCCTTTAAAATGACAAAGCCAAACGATAATACAAAGTAGATAAGGGTAATACAAAGTAGATCTACTTTGTAATACAAAGTAGATAAGGGTCCTATTTCCCTTGTGCATACATCTTTTCTCCTCTGACTGTTTAATCTAAAGGTATTGGACTGGATGATATGTTCATCATGATCTCCTGCTGGCAGAGGACCAGTGTTCTGGACGGCGTCCCCGAGCGGCTGGCTTACACTTACAAGGATGCTACGGTCTCCATTACCATCACCACCCTGACCGACGCGCTGGCTCTATTTCTGGGCTGCAGCTCGCCCTTTGGTTCCGTCCGCTCCTTCTGCCTGTACGCTGGGATTTCTATTTGCTTCTGCTATCTGTACAGCATCACCTTCCTGGGGGCGTGTATGGCTTTGAACGGACAAAGAGAAGCAGAGAACAAGCACTGGTTCACCTGTGCCAACATCCCTGAAGACTTACCCTCCAGGAGTTCTAAAGCCTTTGGCATGTGTTGTGTTGGGGGGAGCTATGATCGAATCACTGAAAAGGAGGAAACGGAGGTCGTGAGTCACATGTTTGAGCAGTTCTACGGCCCGTTTTTGACTCATAAATCAACAAAAGTTTGTGTATTTTTCCTTTACGCAGGCTATCTGGCTGTTAGCATCTATGGCTGTTTTAACTTAAATGAAGGACTCGACATCAGGAATCTGGCTTTGGATGATTCATACCTCATCAAGTACTACAACGATCAAGGGCAACACTTCGCCGAATATAGCTGTAACGTAATGGTAGCAGTGAAGCAACCATTTGCATACTGGGATGCAGACGAACAGAAGCATCTGTGTTCATGCATTTCACATTTTGAGAGTTTGAACTTTGTCAATGGCACTTTGGCTTGGTTTCTCTCCTTTGTACAGTATGCTAATGCCAGCAATCTTAATATAAGTTCTCAAGAGTCTTTCCTAACACATCTGCCAGATTTCTTAGAACTCAACGCCATGTTCAAACATGACATCAACTTCACAGCGGATACCAAGATTCGGGCATCTCGATTTTTTGTTCAGACACTCAACAATGCATCCACGAAGGATATGATGATTGGACTTAGGAAAACAGCAGAGGAATGCCAAGTAGATCTACTTGTGTACCACCCTGCTTTCATCTACTTTGACCAGTATACTGTCATTATGGACAACACCATTCAAACCATCACGGTGGCTGTGATGGTGATGCTAGTCGTCTCGCTCATCCTAATACCCAGTCCTCTTTGTTCCCTTTGGGTGGCTTTTTCAATTTGTTCAGTCATTGTTGGTGTGACAGGGTTCATGGCACTCTGGGGTGTAAACCTGGACTCCATCTCCATGATCAACTTGGTCATGTGCATCGGTTTTTCGGTAGACTTCTCTGCACATATTTCATATTCTTTCGTCTCTAGCCCTAAGAGTGACGTCAATGAGAAAGCGATCGATGCCATGGCCTGTTTAGGGTATCCAATACTCCAAGGAGCACTGTCTACAATTTTAGGAGTGTTGGTGCTGTCCATGTCCGGGAGTTACATCTTTAGGACGTTCTTCAAGATTGTGTTTCTTGTGATAACATTTGGCCTGCTCCACGGATTAGTGTTTATTCCAGTGTTTCTGACTCTTCTTGGGGCCTTTGGGAAGTGGTTTTAAACTTCGGGATTCCAAGTTTTTTTAATGCAAATTTAAAGTGAAACATAAATTGAAAATCTGCAAATCTTTTGTGAACTTAAATGATACTACAGCTTTTCTAATAATGTGATGTTTTTAATAATTTTAGTAATGAGACGTTTGCTCAAATACTTGAATAGTTGTTTTTTGTCAGTTCTTAAGAATATAATTTAAAGCTAGTCTTCAGTGACAGAATTGTTAAGCTTGTTCATTTTGGCTCATTGTAACAAAGTATATGCATTTGATAGTTTTGTAAATAATAAAACTGAAGTACACTCCAATCTTCTTTTGGTCTTCTTTTTATTTATTTGAGATGCACAAACAATTCATCAACCATTGCCATCAGAATGTTGAGAGATTGTGTCAATCAACAGCAGAGCCATTCAATGTGTACAGCATAAAAGCATTGCTATACATCTATGTACAATGTTCTCAACATCAACACATCATATATACAGCTAAACATGGATAAAAAGGCCAGTAAACTGAAGAAAGAAAGTAAAATGAAGAAAGAAAGTGAAAAGGGCAACACTATAAAGTACATTTGCTGGTGGTCATTTTGACAAAAGCTATACTTTCA